AAGGAACAGCAAGGAAGAAAAAGATCCAGAAGTTGTCTTTTTCCCCCCATCAATTAATCAGAGTGACTAGAAGATGCAGTGAGGATTAATTTGATCCCTCTTACGCTATCATGTTTGGATTCATTCATTTAAGAACAATTACTATATTGATACTGATGGTGTCAGTGGTTCCTCTTTTTTTGCCAGAAAACTGATTGACATCAATTCAAACAAAATGAACATGTGAAGTTTACTCTTTGTGCAGGTGTCCTTTCAAAAATAAATAAGTTAAAAATAATAAAAAGAAACAGCATGAATCATTGGCAGCCTTTTTGTCTTATGATAGCTTTTGGTGTATTTTACTGAAATGAAAAATTACTGGGATATTACTGCAATTTCACTACTTTCCTCCTGAAACAGTTACTAGAATCTCTCTCAACTCCAAGTTGCCCTGTGGCCTGTGATAATTTTGAAGACTATCCTGGAAAATCTGTTAAGACCAGCAGTAACTATTGATGATGTGTCTTGTTTTCTATATTCTCTCCTTAATTCCTGCATACCAGTGAACTTTTTTACCCTTTCCTTTGATAAGAAGCACCAAATTCACCCCGTAAACCGATGTGCAGTCAGAGAACTGCAAGGAAGTGCTGCCAGCTCCTTTGGGTGCACTGCTGTGTTGCACAAGGCCAAGAAGCTTCCCTCCAACAGGGGGGACATGAGCTGCCCTTGGTGCCTGCTGAGAGCACACCAGACTGGCAAGCAGTCTGCCCAGAAGGAATGACTTGTACTCCTGACTACTCACCTACACCCATTGCCCTGCTGAAATACTTTCAATCTGAGTCAATTACTGCCTCAAAAATTTGATCAGGGTCTTTTATTTCATCCACTGCTAGGTGCTGCCTTGGCAAACCATCAGTGACAACCCTTTCACTGCTGTTTGGCCTAAAATGTAGCTGTGCTATCCACAAATGGAACAATCACAAGATGCTGCAGCAGTTCATACAGAAGAGGCACAACTACACCAGAGCCTGAACTTTCAGAACAGATATCCCTGCAAATATGTGTACAAACATATTTTTCAGTATATGCTTTTTCTATACAAACATTGTGTCCAATTGAACATGCTCTACCAAAAAATCAATTTATATTTACACTCTGCAAACTAAATACAAGTCAAGTTAGGCTGATCTGATTTAAGAGCTGACACTGACATTGCTTCCACTCCTACCCTAACATGAGTTCTTCCTGCTCTCCCTTGAAGAGGAAACACATTAGACCTGGAGTTTTATTAGCTGTAATTAGAAAACTACATCTGTAGTTGAGCAGTGGGAGGCTTTTCAATTAAAATGGATTTCAAGAATACACCTCTGTTTTAGAAAGACATGCATCTTTTGAGAAATTTGAGCTATAAAATTCATTTACAGATAGTTTTTCTACACTGATAGTAACACTATCAGAGAATGAGGTATCTTGACTGCAGAAGGGATTCATTTCTGCTCTTTGGAACTAAACATAACTTAATGTCACTAAAGATGTGCTGGAGAGTTTTTCAGAGGAAGAGTAGTAGAACAGTCAGTGTTTACCAGTTGTACAAGAACAGATCCCTTTTTCCTTGCTAAAGTGCCCAAAAAACATCACTGAATTGGTAGGTTCAAGTAGGCCTCAAATACACTGAACACCTTCACTTATGCTCTGCTCCTGGTAATGGTGCTTTTTTAACACATGAAATAGGGAAGTCTGCCTTGAGGGCAAACCTGGACAGCAAAGTAAAGGTGCACATCCGTACCTCAGGCCCACTAACGCATGTCAGCACTAACCTCATAGAATAACACAGCCTCTCCCAGCACGCTGCTTCCCCAGGACAGCAACACGAAGTGCTCATGGTGTAGGAGTACACGGAACAAGAAGCCATCTGCCTCAAGGCACGCCTGCAGGGAGCCACGAGCAGGAGGGAGCCTGCAGCTCTGAAATGCCCCTTCTGTCCTTTGGCATATTCTGACTCTGGTCAGAATAGAACCCAAAAGACTGCACTGGAAGGGCAGCTCCAGTGAGGATAAACCCATGGTGAATGCTGAGGAAACTGCACTGTGACTCAGCTCAGTTCAGATTTAAAACACAGCTCCAGGGGCCGTTAGTGTTGGGACATGCACCTGGCACAAAAGCAGCCCAGAAAACAATGAAACAGGAGAATGCATGAAGGAGGATGGTTATTTTCAAGGGAAGCAGCACCTAACTGAAGCAAGTGATCTTTATCCATTCTGACTTCCAAGTTTTTGCCACCTTTAACTTTTGACAAATCACTACTAGAAGAAAAATCCTACATAGTAGTTTAACTTTCTCACCTTCTGGTGAAATTCTAAGGATGTTCCTACCCCTGGTTTGCCAAGTTCACAGTAAAGTCAGGGGAAGGCAAGATTTTGTATTCCAGCTTAAATTTAAATGTAAACTGTAAGCCAAATTATAAACAACATTTACAAGCCTCATTCATATGCTATAAAAAGATTAGAAGAGTACTTCTGTGCACTTCTGTGTCCTTTTCATACTGTCATCTCACTGTTTATACTTTTCTAAAGATAAAAGATAATAGTATTAATCTATTCCTTGAGGCTGCTGGGAGGATTCATCAGTTAATATTTATGCAGCAAACTGGAATAAGTGCTTTTCAAGTGCTAAACATCATTATTGTTCTCTTCCTCTTCGTTAGTACATTATGTACATCCCAAGTAGACCAGAGAAATACTGAAATTGTCTTCAGTATAAGGGAAGTGGAAAAAGTAACAACCAGTTGAGAGCTACTACTTATAAGTGATGTGAGTGACATCTGTGTGTAACAAAGTAATCCACTGCATTTTGCAGAATTACACATATATAATTTTTACACTCATCAAAGCAAGATTTCCCTGAGCAAAGATCCGAGAAATGTCTAAATTAAATACCTCAAATGCTTCCATGTGCCTTGCAAACTAAACATATAATAAAACATACAGGAAGTAAAATTTGCAAAGAATCACTGAGGAGGTTTCCAGATTTTAGAGTGCAAAACCTACCTGCTGCTTCAGTTTGCTTCCTTCTTTAGAAGTGAGCTGTATGGGAAGGGACAGCCATGGAGGAGCAGAGCCAGTCCAGAGCTGGAAAACACCCCTTGCTGGAAGAGGAAAAATAAAATCAGAAAAATACAAATTCCATAAAAGACAACTCAGCAGATGGCATCACTGATGATGGAGGAGCAGATGTGAGCAACAGCACACGAGCATGGAGCCATAGTGTGCAGGACCCATGCACGCTGTCATGCACCTTCCCTTGCCCCCAACCCCTGCCCAGTGCAGTGGCAGGCACTCTGCTGTCCCATCTTCACCCAAACATCCCATACTATTTGATTTATTTTTTTCCTATTCCAGTGATATAGGAACAATACAGTATGTTTATCAAAGTGCAAATCGATTGGAATTAGAATTTTCCATAGATATTTGTGGGAACTGTGAGAGATGGGCAAAATCTTAAGGCATCTCTTTGCTTTTCAATACTTGCCTGTTGTTAGTAGTAAAGTACATTGCAGCCTTGCAATCTGAAATTCATCTAACCAAGGTATAAATGAATGAAAGGCAGGTTCCTGTTTCAAGACAGCCATCTGGGTCTCTTCCAACAGCAAATGACAGGAACACATGTTGCTGGAGGGTAGAATCTCTCCTGGGCCCAGAGGAATTGCTGTGTGCTGGTTACTGTATTTTTCCCTTGGCAGTGGGAAAGCTGTGGCTGTATAGCTGAAACCAGGTAATTAATTTTTATGTGGTTAAAACAAGGTGGGACGAATCTCATCTTTGCAGTTCTATTTTGCTTTGCTTTTAAAAGATCTGCTTGGTTTTACAAAACCTGAGCAAGTTTTCATCACTTCAGGACAAAGCCATGAAGATTAAAAACATTCAATTAAAAATAATCCAACGTGCTCTAGTAGCAGGGAGGAGCACAGTGGTATATGGTGGAGGGAAAGAAGTACACTGCCTGAGTACTGGCACTGCTGTGTGTGTGAGGCAGGAAGGTGCCAAGAGGAAGGTTCCCGGAATGGACCGTTAGCAGGACTGTGTAACAAAGTTAACATATGGACATTAAGGACTGTTGAGATCATGCTAAAGGAACTGAAATAGGAAACTCACCTCTTAAGCCTCTTGATGAGTTCCTAACTACCCTGGTAGCGCTGATGCTCTCATGCATAAAAGAACGCTTTTATTTTATAGCAAGAAATGATTCATTAGTCAGCCTCCTCTTCTGCTCCCTGATAATTCAAATTAATGACACTTCTGTTTTTTCCTTAAAGAAATGGTTATTGCAACCTTCCTGTGGTGCCAAAATATACATATATATATATATATATATATATATACTTATTGTTCTTCATGCTATTACTATAATTTTTTAAAGTCTAAGCTGCTTTCTTGTTCATTTGAACAAGGAATATGAACAGAAAAAGCAAATGACATTTGCATAAAATAAAGGCAAAATAATTTTTTTGGCTTCTTGTTAAGCATCTTGAAAATTCCCACATCCCCAAAACTCATACATGTATACACACATCGAAGGTCAGAAGCTTGTTCAAAGGATGATTCGCTTCATTATTATTTATACTGTTTGGCCAATGAAATGATATGCTTTCTCCTCTTTCCAGAAGGATTCTGGGTAACCTGAAGGGATCAGTAACACATTTGTTGTGGGTAAAATTGACTAATTATTGACTATTACAAGCTTTCTTTTGCTTCTCCCACAGAAGGGTGTTTTTTTTCCCCTATTGTTTTCATTTTGGCATTAGTGGATACACTTTTAGCATAAGTTGCAGCAGCTCAGTCTTTGTCTTTGAAGGGTTGAGGGTCATTCCTATAGGAAGGCTGTGCATGATCTCTAACATAACCTGTCAGATGTATTAAAATCTTATGAGTTATTCCAAAATTTTTCTAATTAGTTCCAAGGAGAATGTATTCTACTGCTTGATCAGCCTTGCAATAACAGGTACAGCAGCATCTTACCCATCATCCATACTTCACGTTCTTTATTTTGATCTGGTTATGGAGTCCACAACAATGCATGGAAATCACAGAAAGCCTGGAGCACGTAGGAGCCAAGAGCCAGTGGTGTGGTGGATTCAGGGAGGCAACTGGAGAGCAGCTGGCAGTGACAAGCACAAGGCAATCACAGCATCCAGGCTTGGGCAGACCTTCTCTTGTGACGCCTTGGCACATCAAAATGGGACTTTATCAGCTTTCTCTCAGAGAGATGATCTGAATTGTTAATTGTCTGGGAAGAGGGAAAAATCACTGCTACACTTTTGTTGAACAGATTGGTTACTGTGATCTACATATCTGCACTAATTAATTTACATCCCCAGCTGTCCTTCACGCAGTACTTACCTCACACTAGTAATATGGTATCTTTTAAAATTTGGTTGGAACGAAGCAATTTTCTTCTCTCACTAATTCCAGTTGTTTCTAATTTGAGTCAGAACTGATTGAGCGCATCACTAATATCCCTCAGCAATCTTCAGCCGCCGTCTCACCACTGGGGAATGCTTTAGTGGTTGAGTGTCACTTTTTAGTTAGACGGCTTTGCTGGAAAAGTTGCTTTGTGTCAGTATTGCACCCTTTAGAGCCACATAAAACCAGGAAACTGACCTGCTATTTGAAAAAAAGGGTATTGTAAGATGATGTGTGTATAATGGGAGTTCACACAGTTTAACACTTAAAAATCACATGGTGTCCAGACATGCAATATTGAACTGTCCTAAATGCTAAAGCATTAGGGTCATATTCTGGAATTATCCTGAGGGAGTTGCAGCACACTTTCTCTGATCCTTGGTATGCATAAGCAGATAATATTTCATTTAAAGAAAGCACCTAGCAGGATGAATCCTCCCTCCAAATGCATCAATTCACATTAAGCAAGCTCTTTAATTATATTCAGCTATATGGAGATGCAACAAAGTGCCTAATTTGCAGGGTTTGAAGGAGAAATAGGCTATGATGTGCCATAACTCTTTATTCAGTTTTGCTAAAATTGGCCTATCTTTTTTTTTCTTCTCCAGTTCTTTTCCCTCAGCTTTCTCCCAGTGTTTCAGGCTGGCTACAAGCCATAGCAGCAACAATAGCACAGTTCTGAAGTGGAATGAGCAAATCAGAGCAGAGCAGGGCTTTGCTAACCCATTGTTTGGAGAGGCACTTTCCTAACAAGCAACGAGTGAGGTCATGTCTGCTCATAAAAACGTGTAGGCAGACCACTAGATATCAAGTTAGCATCAGTTATTCTTGCAAATTGTTTGCATGTGAAATGAAAAAGAGGCTAACAGAAAATCTGGCCTTAAAACTCCGTTTCTGTGCAGTGCTGTTGAGGACTCTGCAAACATTCTCAGCCAGCAAACCCACAGAGAATCCCCTTATTCTGGCTATCATGCCCAGGAAAATAAACCATTGCAGCAGAAACAACTAGAAGTGGAAAACATCTGCATTATTTAGCATTGTAGCCCTCTTTCTGCAGAGAAAATACAGTTGCTAGAAGAATGAAACCCATTTTGATGAATCTTAAATTCAAACTGTGACAAACAAAACCTGGGCCACCCAATACACACTGCAGACTTTAGAGAAGATAGTTTCCTGTTGAACTGCTGTGCTGACACCAGCCTCCAGCTACAGATTATACCTTTCTGGAACCTCTGAAGAACGCTGCTGAACCTTGGAGCTCAGTGTGAAACATCAGTTCTCTCTACACCTTCAGCTGAAAGCATCCTTGCTAGTGTCCCTCAGTATTACCCAGCACTGGTCTTGCACTGGAAAGCACAAAAGTGGAAGATATCTATCTTTCCTAATACCAAATAAGGTGTTTTCCAATTTACTTATGTGAAAAGCACAGCGCCTTAGTAATTAGTAGTTTGGGGATTTATCATTCTGCCAGGTCTGATGAACATTAGCAGCTGAGGAATCCTGCTGTGAATAGCCAAACACTGCCGTAGTTGTTTGCGAAAGGGAATTTTCAATCTAGGTCAGACATAGTGGATTACAAAAACAGTTTATCAAGCTACACTGGATAAAATAAAGGACTTGCTACAAAAAGAAAATGGGAAAGCTGTTATGCATAGTTTTAGCTTAAATAACTTGTTTTTGAAGTGTCATTTGATGTCTTTGTGAGGCATTCTATTTTGGTACTCTTATGCCACAGGATTTCATCAGTCAGTATAATAACAACTACATGTTAAAATGAAAGTTCAGTCTTGTAAATTTTTATCCTAAATCTGTATTCATACAGGTGTCTTCTTTAAAGTCCTTAGGCAGGAAAGTAACAGCAAAAGCTGGTTTCACTCGAGTAAAACCAGTCTGGTCCTGTTTTCACATGGATTCAAGCCTTTTCACAGATCCTGGTATTTCTTATGTTTATCTACACTAAGCTACAATCACAAATAAAAAGCAGTCCTAAGACAGCTACGTCAATGTGATCAGACTGTTTAGAAATATCACAAGATTTTTAAGTAAGTGTTTATGAAGGGGGAAAACTCCAACTTGCTGATACACAAGCCCTCCTCACCAAAGACCATAACATCTGTTCTTGTTTTCAGAAAGATGTTCATTATAAAGCTGGAATTAAGGCCAGGTGATGTCACAAACAAGCTTGGGAAGGTGAAATAATGATTTATTGAAAGTAATTGCTACCTATTTTGATTACCATAACAATTAGATTACCATAACAATTCCCTAAGAAGCTTTGAGTAATAACTAATTTACTGGAGAAAAACAGCAAATAAATAACTTTGTCTGCTCTAGAAAACATATTAGTACCAAATCTGATTTACTATATAGACAGCAGGAGAGCTTCATTGTCCTTAGCTCTTCTCCCCTGCTTTTGAATGTTTGGCTTAGTGGAAGTTATGAGTCAATTAGGCTGTTGTCACTTAGCAACCACAACTGGGTTCAGGAGCAAAGCTCCTGGGAGCAGACTGCACTTGACTACTAAATACTGCCACTCCAGCACATCAGCACCACTCCCTCTTACTGACAAAAAATGAGGAGGAAGGGAGCACGGGAAAAAAGTGGCTTCTAGAAGTATTCACATCCCCTTTTTCAAGCTACCATAGGAGCTTTATCTTCCCCGACTTCCCGTCATCCATATAGAATGCTTTTTGAAGAAGTGTTTGAGACAGTAAGGACTGAGGTAAGCCTCTCTGCTTAATATTATCGGATTTCAATCCCACCAGTGTTTCACCCGTCTTGTACCTTCTCCTAATACTATGGAAAATAATAAGCATGCGAGTGTGCCACCAACTGCAACGTGGGGCTGCCTTTATCCTAATCAAGTTACAGTTGGATCTTCATCACAAAGGTATTTGCTTCTGCTGCGAAAGTTGGCTGGGAGCTTTGTCATCAAGCACAGTGATGGAATATTCCTGAGATTAAATCCCATCTCACTCTGATTATTTCAACAAACCTTTTTTTGCCTGTCAAAATTTGAGTCTAAACATACAGAGAGAATCCTGCAGATACCATGGCTTATCACTGGCTGATGCTGGAATACTTTAAAATATGTACTTAGGATGTCCCTGGATCAATAGCAAGTTTTGAATAAAAATATTACTGTAATTTCACATTTCCTGTAAATCATGAAAATTAAGTACTTCCAAAGTAGTAGACACTGCAAATGTTGGTGACAAAAAAAACCATTATTCCTTTATATTAAAAAGTACTTCAATTAACTCCTTTTTCCCTCATCCAAAGTACCCTAGGTAGATTTATAAAACTTACATGATCCCTTCTGCCCACTCTCATAGCAGACAGAAAGGCCTGGAGAAAGCAGTGGGAACTCATAGCACCCAGAACAAGATTGCAGACATTCTGGTCCAGATCTTGATGCATCCCTACAGTGCAAATAAATAAGTGCTAAGAATTATTTGTGAAAATAAAATGCAGACAACAAATAACTGATCAATTTAGAAAGATCACAATGCATTAGTTGAGATTCAGGGCCTAATTCTGATGCTGTTTAGAGCCATTTAAACCATGGACTCTGAAGGAACCTAGCCTGGTTCCTTCCATACACTGGTGCATAGGAAGGCAGCCTAAGGCACATTCTATTTACAGCTGTGACCTGCCAAAAGCTCTCTGGAATTGCAAATGCACAGCAGAAGGCTCAAGGCCATCATCCAAGAGTGTGTCAAGTGAGTGTTTTCCTAGAAGTTTAAACGTAGGCTTGAAAAATGTTAGACAGATATCACAGGAACTCCCAATGCAAGCTGAAGCCCAGTGCAGCTGGTCTCAGAGAGCAGTGACTGGTGAGCATAATTTTGCTCAGATACTCTAGCATCCAGTTAAACCACTCTACAGTTTTCAGATCTAGCTGAAATTACCAGTAGCCAACTCTTTGTCATTATATTTTGCCTCTGAAAGACACTGTGGAAAACAAAGGTAATTAATTTGGCTGCTGCATGCAATGCTTGCAGGGTAGCCCCTAAGTATTTTGTTCAGCCCCAGTGCATCTGAAGGAAAAACGTCTCAATGTATTCAGGGAGGATCCAATTTTCTGCTTGTCACACGTAGCAGAAAAGCCTTGGCTGGAAGGAAAGTGCTGCTGCTGCCCAGGGAAGAGCAGCTCTCTCTTGCTGCACCACTCACCTCATCTATCTCTCCAGTGACTTGCTCACTGATCATTACCTGAAGGTCCAGATCTACAAACAGCATCTGCCAGGGATGCAGATATGCAGTAAAATGGAGTTAGGTATGAAGTAGAATCTGCTGCTGTGGAGCTTTGGCAACTCAAGAGCTGTTGCCTCCCCTGCACAACTCAGAGCAGCAAGAAGCAGCAATCCAGAGGAAAAGCTGGATTACATTCCTCACAGTGGCAGTATGGCCTGTGTGTATCTGAATCCCTCACGGCACCATCCCTAAGCCTTTGCCCAGCCAAGTTCCAGGCTGCATATCAGCTGCATACATTTGTGTGTGTTTTTCTTCTCTGCTACCCAATCCACAGCTGTCATACCAAGCTGCCCCATGCTGCCACAGATCCTTTTCCATGGCCTGTGCACTCCCATTAGTCATGAAGCTTAGCATCTTCTTAGGAGCAAAGAATTTCAAAGACATGGGCACAGGACCAATGTAAACAGCAGAAGAATGAGAAATGCTTAGAGTCCTGTCTGATAGCACTCTTAAGTTTTAGAATATGATGTTCAGAGTTCTTGGGAACAGCATCACAGCAGTAGCAGTGAGGTAAGAAGTGATCACTTCAATACGAACCGAATATTTCATAAAGCTGCTAACACAAAGAGCTAACAGCTTTAGAGCTAATAGGACGTTCAAGATTCCTATGTCTAAAGTTTTCATGTTTTGAAACTGAAATTAGTGTAAGATCCAACAACATTCTTGGCAATTAGAAGCATATTAAATAAGTTCTACAGAGCAATGTGATTACATTTAAATTGCTTCTAATAACATAAACTGCACCATGAAACAACTATATTTCCTAAAATAAGGAAACAATGTTTAAAGCAAAAATATTGTTACAATAGGATGTATATATTTTAGACAGCATAAACTTATGCTCCTAACTAGCACAAAATAATGGACAAGCATTGATCCAATTCTCAAGTTTAATTTATGCTCAACAATACTGTAAACCTGCTCCTTAACTGGCAGAGAAACACGTGCTGCTGAGTGTTTTCCTCTAGTTCCCTTAAGCACATACAGCACTCCTGGCTCCTAAAAGCTCATTCTATAACAGGCTACTGTGTGTGTTTGATAATGTAGGATCCAATTTGTCGTAGTCATTAGACTGGAAAGTCTACGTGCGTTACAATCAGAAAAGTCAGCGTGCTGGAATGGTGATACAGGACTGTAGTAACAAAGAGACTAGTACAAATGGAACAGTGTTACAAAGGAAAAGCACTTACCTCTGAATATCTCTGAATATCAAGGCCCCCAAAGAAAAGCCCACAAGGGAGAGATCTCCAAACAGAGATCCTTTCCCAGTGGCAGTCAGCCTTAAATGAGGTCTAAGAGAGGTGCAGCCAGGCTCCACCCCTTCTGGTCACACAGTTGAATTGCCTTCATCTGTGCATCCAAGGCTGAGCCAGTCCTTTCCCCAGGTGCTCAATCAGTGGTTCAGGCTGTGACTCAGCAGTTCCATACAATGTGTTACCCACATATTTGTTAAAACGCTCAGATCTCAAATTGGTTTCAAGACTTACCTTAAATAAATTCAGATTCTGAGTTCAGATTCTGAAACTTACCTAGTATAATGTTTCCCACACAAACCCCGCAGTTTTGAATACTGAACTGAACATGGTGTTCCTGAAAGGGAAGGACAAAGTAGAGAAGTGTAAGTGTTAGGGGAGATGAGCCAGAAGACAAAGTGCTAAGCACTTTTCCTGAATCACCTTCTATTGTGGGACTGGAAATTTGCACAACTGCTGTCCTCTCTTAAAGCAGAAACAAGCAAAGAAAAAAAAAAAAAGAAAGAAAATAAAAATGCAAGATTGGAAATAACTTCACCTAAATTCTCTCACATTTCTGTTGGCAAGATAAAAACCAGAAAAAGCACAGAAGTGGGTGAGTGTTTGGGTGCAAACACTTGTCATGCTGTCATGATCTATTGTTAGACAAATGTCACAAGAATGACTCTAATGCAAGCTTTACTGACAACGATAGCATGAGCTTTGGCAGTTGCACAAGGATAAGAAAGCAATCTGTACTGCCCCATGATCTCTGAGTGCAGAACTGTTTTGTCTCCCATCTGGTCTTTCTTTTCCTCTTTATGTGCTTTTCAAATATTTCAGAAAAACAGCTGGTGTACCACTGGCATTGCACCTCACAGCTTTATCCCAGCAGCCTGAATCCTAGTGATAAAGCTGAACCTAGGTGTCTATTACCCAGTTTCTTGACAGGACACCAACGCAGATCTACAGATTGTATCACTGGTGTAAACAAGCAGACAAACCAATATGTAATGCCTTCAACAGGCTTTCTGTTATCTTGTCTCTCCTTTAGAAGCAGTCCTTTTGAACACTGCTCTTTTCTAATACATATATACTTCTTTCTCCTTTATTTCCCTTTTCCTGTATGTTACTGTGTGGGATTAGTGGTAGATACAGAACATCATTCAAATGCAGCTCAACAATTTGCCAGGAAATTCTTTCCACGAGTGTTTAAATCTTGAAGTTGCGCTTGAGATATTCAATTTAGTCCCACTGTATCACTGGAACAGAGTTCTGCACTTTCATTACTCTCAGTCCTGGAACATTTTACGCTTTCTCATGCTATTCCAGAAAAGATACATATGCAGATAGATGAAATGTAATGTTCTATGACATTTTTTGTTTTAGCTGGCTCACATTTAGCAATTACTTAGTGAGTAAAAGCATTATTCCACACATCCCATGACTAACACTACAAAGTGACTGCTCAGTGCAACCACTTTTGTTGTTTTGTTTTTAAGATACTGTAATCTTCTGAGTAAACTAGAAAATTACTTTACTGAAATGCTACCACTACCAAGAACCCTTCAGCTCCTCATATCATTTACTGTTGCCTACCTGATAAATACAAAACAGTACCAGTAGATAACCTGCAAGGAACATTATTATCCTCAAGTGGAGCAAGCTCTATAGCTGTGATGTACTGGAGGGATCTTCACAACTGCCATCCAGCAGCAACAAAGTGAAGAGCTAGCTCCAAGACTTCAAACTCCAAAACCCATCAGAACTTGAGGGAAAACACTTGCATGTCACTCACAGTAGCTGTACAGAAATTGACCTTGCTGCATCCCTCATAAATAAATTTATTTATCTTACTGGATTGGCTTTTCATTCAGTATGAATCAAAGATCTGACCTCATGCAACATTATAGTTACTGCACCTCAGCATCAGTAAAATAAGGCATTTTTATCTTTTAAAAAACACAAAGAAAAATGCTTCACCTGCAATACTGTCTCCACTGTGGATTTGGGGATGATTGATATATTTTTTTTTAAGGATGGCAATGTACAGAACAAAAGGACATTTTAAAAATAACAAGTTCCTCTACCTGTTTTAAAACCCGAGTACATGAGTTCTGACTTTCTTTCCCTCCCCTACCTTCTCAACTAAAACATTTTCTAAAGAAAATATGTAAGTTCTATGTAAGAACAGTAACAGACCAAAGGGAGCAACTGATCTGTAAAGCTCAGGAGGAGTGAAAATTTGAATTCTATAACTCTGCAGACAAGTTGCTCTGAGTCAGTTTGCCCACATCCAAATCTATGCTCTTGTCTATTCTCATTTCCCACAGGTAGTTATGGCAGTAGCAATTTGAAGTATTTCGTAAATAACTTACTGGTATTCAGCCTGTTGCTTTATTTCCTCTCATATAATTGAGTTGTGGTGGTTTGACATTTTGATTCAGTGTTGTAGAAAGAGCAGATTCAATTTACTGAAATTTCTGTGGTTGATGCATTTAGGGAAAAATAATGATTCCATTTTGCAATGCATTCATTAAAGGAAAGGTACTTACATTTGTTTGCAGAATCAAGTAGTCATCATCAGCATGAAGAACATGGCGCTTTCCTCCTTGGGCTGAGCAACAACTTTGGGCAGGATGGTTCTGACCTATGGCCTGATTTCCACAGTGATTTGAAAACTACTTGCAAAGCCATTTTGGTACTCTTCTTTCTTCACCTGTATATACGAAAGGTATCTACTACATGCCGCATGAAAGCAGAGGGGGAATGCAGAGATGCATAACAGCAACGGGCCGAGTCATCTTAAGGTGCCATCTCTGGAATCCAGACTATCATATAAAACATGAGAACTGACAACATAAATAATCTTCCTGCTCTCCCCTGCCCCTTCCTCTCTATTCCTGGGGGCAAGCTGACTTCTGAACACCCTTTTGGAACTGATAGAGATTTTACCGTACTCAGAGCTGAGGAGGCCAATTCCAACCATCAAAACCATTTGTACCAGATTTAGCCAGACTAGGGCCTGCTCAAACTGAGTGAGTTGAAAAAGAGGAATTGAAAGAAGAAACAAACAAGACATTCTCATTGCTGGGGAGTAATGCAGGAACTTCCCTTTCACCAGGTCCTTTGAGGTCACTCTTTTTGAAGTACAGCATATTCCTGGCCCATTAATACCTCCATACCTCTGTGCAGACATCCATCCACAGCCAACAGATCCCGAGCCTCCTTTAGCCCATTTTCTCCCACAGAGTCCTCAAGGCGATGCTTGGACTGGCTCAGTAACAGCTCAGAGTTGATAGAACATGATAATGTCAAAAACAGTCCCGAGGCCCTTGCATTCACACCAGCTTCTTTTTTATGAAAATGAAGCTGTTGTTTTCTACAACTTATATCTCTTCAGCTAGAGAATCCTGAAACATCAGCTGTAAAAAATGGTATTTTTATGCAGTTATTTGTGCTTACATTGTTTCCACTAATAAATTTCAACTTAGTGTTGCTCTTGCCATCAAAATGTACTCTTCTGTATATAAAGGCTCTTCAACAGTTTTTCGTAAAAGATGCATATTGGAAAAAAGCATAGGAATACAGGAGAAGGCTATAAAGAAGTGGCAACTATAAGGTAACTAAAATGTAAATTTCAGTATATTGGAGAGAGACTTATGGCCTAGGAGCTGCATGGATAGGTTCTTTCTCTACAGAGATGTTGTGCACATGCACTATATAGACAAGTACAGTCATATGAACCAGTTATCTGTAGACAACACTCTTGAGGTCACTAAGGACTTTCATCACGTCTGCAATGTTCAAAATCTTACTACTTTATAACTTAAAAATCACAAGACCTACAGTTCAAGCTTGTATGAAATTCAAGCAATTTCTATCATTTCTTTTGTTTCAAAAGGATTTGACTGCTGATTTAAAATTAAGGATATATTTATGTGAATTTCAAGGTTGGAATCCTCAAAGAAAACCAGACAGCAAAACTGGCAAAAATCAATTTTTTTTTTCCCCCTTCTAATCTTTGACAGACTTTCTTTTATGAACTTCATTTTGTTAACGAATTTCCTCATCACAATAATTTTAAGATCTATGATAACTTTGAGGAAACTAAGCTGGGGAAAGTGATGAATTAAGAAAAACAACACAGGTGAATGCTAGATTTTATTGAGGAACTGCATTCACACGTTTGTGAACCAAATCATCACACTTGATTAAAGATCATACTAATAATGCAAAGACATCACATTAAGACGGCACACAAAGAAAATTTCAAACAAAGCTTGGTCAACAGGGTGTACCAAATTATGCTCTGCCTGACAACTGTTATATCACTGAAATTGCACAGCATAGGACAACAATTTGCATGAAAGTAATTAGCAGCAGTAGCTGATGCAAATTAAAATATACTTCCCAGTACAGTAATCATACAGAAATGCATATCCTGGCACAGCTCAGGTTGACGTCTTGCAATCAGCTGCAATTACAGCAGCCAGGAAAAAAGCTCTGGAAAAGTTGGTGAGGTTCTTGTGGGTCACAGTCTATCCTTGTGTCTGAGGAAATATCTCTTGAAGCCACTTGGTTCTGCCAACAGCTTGTTTTGGTAGCCACTATGTGAAGGATGCAGTTCCATATCTGCAAAACAACAAACACAGGTAAGAATTAGTCTGAACAGGGGAAGATTTTCTTCAGCTGAAAACCAGAGTAAAGGAATTCCTACAAACAAATACACAGGTCACTGCATTTCACTGAGATTACTCTTCCAAGCAACTATAGTCCTAATATTTATCATGAGAAGAATTATACTCCTCAATGGAATTATTACAGCTATGAACACTAAATGCCTCCTCTGGGAGTGGATAGACAAATCTACTTTTGTTCCTCTGCTTTGTAGCAGAGGATTTATTCCTGCATGTGATGGAGACTTCATACACAATGCTGCAGGAATAAGACAAGAAAAATAAAAAGACTTAACTAAGTAGTTCATTTAACATTTCTGTGCTGTGCTTCTTGAAAAGATGTACCACTAATACTTATATTCAACTGCATTTCTTTTTTTTAGCTAGGCATACAATGTGCACACCTCTATTCCTGAAGGATAACAAAATATTCCAAATTACATTTAAAAAATTTATATGCAAAGAAATAACTACTGCACATGAAAACAAGATTGCTTCCAAAGTGAAACAACAGCTGTTGGCACAGTTAGGTTGAGAAGCAGATGCTTGTCTAGATAGGCAAAAATAATGGGTATGTACTGAAGTCTGGCCAGAAAATCTCAGCTAATTCAGTTACTGACAGAAATCTTGAAGTCTAAAATCTTGGATTTCAAGATAGGTGAATACTAGCAGGTTAAAAAAAAAAAAAAGCCTGCAACAAGTACAGCATTTTGTTTTATCTATTGCATTTCACCTTTTTTTACTTCAGAGCATTTCTCCAAGGTACTGAGATAATGTTGGATGGTAGCTTTATCCCCCAAAATCTTGCAATCCCTCTCAAGGTGGTATCATCCATAAATTTTATACAATTCCTTGATAGTACTACAACGTTTCCCTATAAAATATTTAAGAATGAGCATTAAGAACTTTTGCCTAATTTTCATGAAGATGTGTAGTCACAGCCACTTGTTCCCACTTCCCTGACAGGCAAAATTATCTTGACAAAGAGATTACTCTGGCTTATTACACCAGTCTTTGTGAAATTGGTGTATTTATCATAACAGGTTTAAAGGAATGCCTTCAGCTCCCTGGCCCCTCTCCTTTCCCTTATGGTAAGCTACACAAGCAGCAATAGTGTAGGGGTCCTGTCATTAACACCAATATGCAATTTGGCAGAAGTATGCATGTCACATTTAGCTGCCATGTGTGGCTTTCTCACAACAGTTGAAGGTTTGCAGCTACTGATGGATGATCACTGAATAGTGAAGACATGAAATCTGAAGCAAACAGACAACATGAAAACAGGATCAAGAAAAAAAGTGATTAGAACCAATCCTTCACCTAGTTGTTCACTAAAACTCAAAAAAGATCTTGCCCTCTTCTCACTTTCACTGAAAGTTCCCAGCTGCTCTATCCTAGTTCTGGAAGCAAAAAGGCTGAGAATGTGGTTTTCTTTGTTTTAGCTCAGCAAAGATATCTCAAGCATTTTGAATCTTCATGACGAAGTCAGTCTCATTCTGCCAACAAAATAGAATTATACAATTCACCCACAATAAAAACTTCCAAGGTTTTTGGTCTTCGTATAATATATACATTCAAACCATACAACGAACCTCTTTTTAGCTGGCCTTTTAATTTTTTCCTGTCCCTCCCCTCCTGTAAGGAACAGTGTGTAGCAGGCTATATTTCACAGCACTTTGTAAACACTGGTCTCCATAACATGGTAGAAAGCAGGCAAACTGAGGAGCAGTGGAATGAGAGACTCATTACAGAAAACAATGCCACTTTCACAGACTTGACTGTGATCTCATCTCAGTACTCAGCACCCTTGTGAGATATTTTTGCATTTTCTCTCTACAAATGGCTGCAGGATCATTTTAAGTCTTTCCATGGCTTTTTTCTTTTTCCTGATTTTGCAAAGGAAGCTAGGAAGGATTCAAAATTTCAAAATTAGTCTTATTACTCTTGAGTATTTGCAGGAGGACAAGCAACTTGTTCTTCTGATAAGAGCGCTAAGGATGCAATTGCACTCACAATGCACAGGGCAGCCTATTTTTTTTTTTTTTTTTTAAAGGGTATAAGAAAAACAGAACAGGGAACTGACACATATACTTTCCTGCTGATCTAAGAGCAATTGCTGAGCAAACAGGCTTGCTTAGTTTTCTGTGAAAGATAATGCTGATCTATGGCATGTACTCTTACATTCCATGGGTGCTTTTTCAAGTTTTCAACTTCCTTGCAGAAAGGGAAATGGACATTTCATGCCATCTGAAGTCATCTGCATTATTCATTAATTCTTCCCAAGTCTGTAGTACAATTTTTCTGTATTGCAGTATATTTTAAATACTATTTTGCATGATCTGTGCCAAAGGCAGTTTGACCTTTAAATATGATTTTAGCATAGAAATCAAGTCAGTATATGAGGCTTCGTTTTTTTGCATGGTAACCCTATTAATTTCTATTACAGACTGGATTCAGCAATCATAAGAAACATCACCAGGAAGCAGAACATGACTAAACTACCAACCAAGTATCTCACTGCTCTTCCCTTTGGTTACACAGGAGTCCTTCTACCAGTTAATTCCTGAAGAATTTCTTTTGAATGGTAACTTAAAATGGCTGTTTTCTTAGTAAGGTCTGGGGCAGCTCAGACAGCATGATGAAAATGACAGACAGCATCAGGGGAATGTAGTCTTCTTTAGCATGCAATCATGAACTGGTATTTGTGCTTAAGTAATCAAGAAGCAATTTCTTTGGAAATACTCTTCCAGTCTCTATGCAGATACTTTCCTGTGCAAGAAGAGCATCAAGGCAATGTAATCTTCTCTGTCTCATCTCTGCAAAGGAGTATGCATGTATATAGGGTAGAGACAGTAATAAGGTCTGTGAGGATGCAACTCAAGGTCTCCCACTCTTCTGTTAGTGCTTTTCAGAAAGATAAAAACTCATGTGAGGAATCACAGCATTTAACAAACACTATACTGCACCAGCCAATACAGAACAGAGGGTCTGTATAAATACAATGAAGTGAAAATAAATGTTCTTACTGTACCTTTTTCCTTACAGCATTAGTAGAATTCATCCAGTACCTCTATTTTTTTTAACATATAGATCCCCCTCTAGTTTCACTATCTGAAAAAAACAAAAGCATTTTTAGTAAAATAAAAGGTATTATTCTTCCTTTAGTTACAAGTAGTGATACATGTATTACTGCACTAGAAAAAAACAATTCCTGGAATCTTCTTTCCCAACTGTTAGAGGATGAGATGAACCACAATATTCCACTTTCCGTTCCTGAGCCTCTGAGAGGCTGCAGTTACTCGCATACTTGTGTTAGAAAAATAAGCATGAAGATGATGAGTTACTTAAGGTAGCTGTGCTGAGGTGTAAGTAGGACTCATATCAAGCAGTCAGACTCCTAAAAGAAATTGTAAGAAAAACTTCCAATTCATGAAAGTAGATCAGAACTCTCAGACCCTCACTCCTTTCTAAAAATGATTGGTCACTTTTGCTTTCACAGCACCTTCCATCTAGTCACGCCAAAGCATTGTGTGGTACAAGGCTCACAATACTTCTCCACAGGAAAGAAATACCACCCTTGCTTTTCAGAAAGATTCCTACCTTCTTGCCTGTATACCTTCCTGGTCCCACTCCTCTCCCAAAGCTAATAAATCTTTACTCAGTTCTCCTCATCTTCCCTGAATGCTTCAGCCTTAAAACGCTTGCAATATAGCGATGTAGGGATAGTTCCCTACATACTGAAGGGGATAAACCATTTACACAAAGAAAAGCTTACGGTTAAAAGGAAAGCAAAACCACCTAGAGGCAAGATCACTCTCGTTCAGAAAAAGCAAGGCTGGGATGAGAAGTAAAGCTCTCATTCCAAGGCTCATTCTGAAGCTTCTAAAATTTGTTTTTATTGCCTACAGATGATTACGCTAAAAATCAAAGAACTGAAAGAGCAGGAGAGCTTTTATTCTTCCTTATGCCTGAAACCAGCTGTTCTGTAAGGGACTCAGATTTTGCATGACTTCCATGCAAAAGGAACCCAAGTGATGAAGATAAGCGTCCAGGCTTGTCAGTGAAATCCTTCAAGTTACCTCTCATCCTAGGCAAAGCAGGCTTTCAACTTTTGGCAGCCTACCTCATCAACAGCTAGAACTATCAGAACTTGGATGAGAAATAATCAGCATTCAGAACAGTCACAAAAGAACAATAGGTGAAAACAGGACAAGCACACTGCAATCTGAATAAAGCTCAAAACAACACCAAAGGCACTTAGGCAAAAGCAGAGATCTCAGCATCCTGAGTCCTAACAGATGAAACTAAGACAGAATGTGAACGCTGGATCATCACTGGGGAAAAAAGGAAGGATCTGTAATGCCACAGCAGGATGTGGTTTTACAACAGAGGTCAAGTCTGAAAAGGAAAGACGGCAGCATTTGGCAGCAGCAGTGTAATAGCACCTGTCTCCTTCCCAGCCTAACACATGTGAAATATGTCTGTCACAAAAACAGACCAGGAGAAAAACAGCACTGCTGTCCTGATAATGATACTGTAAAAGGAAAGTTGATACTGTAAAAGGAAAACTTGAGAGAAAATGTTGAATAGTAAGGCATTCAAAAGTATAAAGTCAGTTTATAATTAGAATACAGTCATCTTATAAAAGTTCACTAGACAATTTGTTCATCCCATCTAAGAGTTTACTTAGGCTTCTCTATGTAGCAGGACCTATTTCCTCTGGCTTTCTCCAGAATAAGTGTCAAGTTTTCAATTCTCAGATTAGTAGCAGTTTGCTGAATGCGTGACTCTCACTTTGGATGTCTGCTCAGCTTATGGAGCTTCAAGAGACTCTACAATTCCTGAGAGCCCTATGAAGAGCTCTTAGACCAAAACCCACATTCTCTGGAAAACAAAGCAAGGTGAAGGAAGTTTATTATAAAGTGGACTGAGTTAGACACTCAACTGTGTGCTTACTATCATGTAATAGCTTATAATTACAATAACTCACTGATCATCTATTGCCATTCAGTTATGGAAGCACATTAAAAGCTAGCAAAAATTTTGAAATTGAAGTGATGATGGTTGATGGTAGATACTGTATTGTACTGGCTAATCTGCACATCTATTAATTCTTTTACCAAAAAAATGTTAATTCAACTGACCACCAAGAAGGTCCTCTTTGGAAAGAATGGAAAAACAAACCTTTTAGTCACCTTTCAAGTCTAAGCCACAAATACTGGCTAAAGCATTCAGAAGCAGTCACTCTCCTGTGCCAGTAGGGTACATGCAGTGTTTCTGCAGGTGCCTGCTCACACACAGTTTCAGAACAAAGTTATAGAACAAAAAAGAATGATCCCTCCCTGTCAAGAAAATGCATTTAAAATTTCTTTTGAGCTTCTTATCACTAGAATGAAAGCATTATTATATATGTATGCATTTAAACAAGAAATTAAAAGTAACCCATTCAGCCTCTTGCTGATAATGGGATTTATTTGTTGCATCCTTAATAGGTATTGTCAAGTTTTACACCCTTCCTACTAATAAGGAGGAAGCTTGTGCTAAATATTTTCATTTGAGTTCACTACTGATTTCATTCAGTAAATAAAACAGCAAGATAATGCAACATCATTTGAAGAGATGTCAGAGAGAAAACATGTAGCTGGATTCTTCCACATGTGATGCCAAAATAAAGCTTTTACTGTGGAGGAGATAATGCATGTCAATAACAACTGGCCTTACCTGCCATCTGTAGGCTTAAACCAGTATCCAGTTTGCTGTGTGGCTTTGTGCTGATGAACAAATAACAGAGAACACACACAGTGATGATAAAAGCAAACAGGACCACCGCTGCTATTGACAGGCCCACAAGCGCTCCAATGCTAAGAGAGAAAACAAACAAATTAAGTGTACAAACATGCTGGAATACCCATTAAAATAGACATCACAATTATGCCTGGAGGCTACATATACTCAGTTATAGGAATGCCTGTTTTTACTGTACACAAGTTTAAAGCTCAGTACTTAGTGTATGTATAGATATGTATACCTATACAAAGCATTACTTCATTGTCCCCAAAGGGGCCAATGTCATTACACAGTGGTTCAGCACCAGGTCCTTTGACATTTCATGTTTGTGTGTCCTACTCCTTACTGCGATTTAAATGTTTACAAAAATCAGCAATAACTTCATACAGTAACTTGTATCTATCTCCTCCAATGCAGTGCACACTCCCAGATAAGCCACTGGATAATTCAAGGGTGCGTGCTGTGTTTCCTCATTCAAAGTATAGCTTAAAGCATGCACAGCCTTTGTGCAGCATTCTCATCTGTGCAGAAACTGAAAAAATCAGCAATAGTCTTCACAAGTATCAAGTAAAAGAAGTCAAGGCATTTCAACAAGAAAACACCAGGTTTTTTTCTTCCTTTTTTACATTAACTTCTCCCAGTCTTTGCAATTCCTGAACAGGATTTTGACCAATGTAGAAGCTCCTAAGACACACACAGGGATTCCAGAGCTCCAGGCAACTGGCATAAGTTCTTCTTTCTCAACCATGACTACTGAAGCAGTATTTTCAGTCTGAACTGCCGCTTCATCGCAAGAAAGGCGAACTAGAGAACTTCAACTAAAGCACACCTTCATAACAGACTTCTCCAAGGCTGACACGTTCATGAAAAAACAAGGTAACAAATGAAAGCCACATTTCAGTTCTGCTAGCAGCTCTGTAGAACAGGGAGAAGTACTGTGATCATTGTTGCTTCTCTTTGTAACCTTTATCAGCAGATTTTACCAGAATACTACATCTGCAGGATAAAGCTGCTTTATACTATTTCCATGGTCACTCAACAAGAAGGTATGTCTACATACATGTTTTTTAGCAGCTTCCTTATTTCTAATCCTTCTGTTCAAGTCTTTCGCTAATCAAAAAAACTTCCATGCCAAAATAAAGGGTCAACTGTAATACAACATACAATTTGCTTTTCTGAGCCCTCATCTAAGATTCCTTTCAAATAACAGCAGCACAGTTGTGCATCACACAGCACAACACACTAGCATTATCATTACAGAACTTGCGCAAGTTACTTTTCACAGCACACAGAGCACAGGAAAAACAAGCAGTTACTGGAGAATTTTCCCATATTTCCTACTACAAGTCAAAGACTTGTAGGTTGCTTAACAGGTGAAAACGTTTGACATACAGCAACAATGCAAGAAGATCTTACCCAAAACATGGAAACTGTCACCACAAAATTCTAGATTTCACTTCCTAAACCAACCCAAATTAAACACAGTTTGTATGTACTGATTTTAAACATACTTTTAAAATACCAGATTGTTCTCTGTGTAGGGAAGCTAACAGCCCTCTTAAAATGCGCTATTCATTTCTTAAAGGTTAATTCTGGGTTAAAGTTCAAGAGGAGGGGTTGCTTTTTCAAAGATGGAATTAACTTGGGAATTTATAATGCCTTCCACAGCTCTGAGCATTGAAGCATCTTAAGACAGCGGTATTTTATTTTATTAAGATAGTTCTCAAAATACCAAAAAAGCCATCATTTTAATGATTACTTTTCCCAGAAAATAAAGACAGCCCCTCAGTAAGTCCCCTAGCTTATACAGGAATTACTATGGTGCTGCATACCCATCTAGAAATGCTTTGTTAAAAGCATTTCACCATCCTCACATCTTTACTTAAAGCAGTGGATGTTTAAAATTCACCCAGCAGTCCACAGGTTGCATCTTCAAGATCAGTCTTCTGGTAGCACAGACATTTAGTTTGAAACTAAGAAGCTGCTCTTGTCTAAAGCTGTGGCCTCAGTAGCACTAATAAGCTACCCTCCCACCCTCAAAACAATAATCTAGCATAAGAACAGCTACAGAGTCCTGGGAGGAATCCAGATGGCACTTACACAACTTAGAACATGAGCAATGGTAAGCTTGACAGAAGAAAACTCTCCTAAGACTTCATACAGCAACAGTGCAGGCATGCCACAAATCTCAGCTCTGACTGCTGTTACACAGTGCCAGATGCTCGCACGCAGCCCTGCCACACACCTGCACAACCAGAGGCTGTATGAGCTGAAGCAGCAGGCTTCAGGGCTCCCTCTGCTGCTGCAGGTCATCAACACCTCTTTCAGTGGGGGCTCAGACACCTACTGCTATTTTTAGTCCTTAAAACTAATCCATCCACACCAACAGCAGCCAGGAACAATTTAAATATTGGCTAAGCAGATGCAGTACATCCACTGAAAGATTAGAAGGAACCTCGTGAGTCATCTGGATCTGAGTGAAACAAATGTTCGCAGCTCCTGTTCTCACAGGCTGATCTCCAAGCCTGAAGGTTTGATCCTCCTTCTCTCCTGGTGGTGAATGAGCCATTAACTCAGGGTCTGCAAACCTTGCTTCCAGTTGCTGAGCTCCAATAGTTTCCAATCCATTTGTTGTGCAAATTGTGACAAGACAAGGGGGAATGGTTTTAAACTGAGACAGGGGAGGTTTAGGTTAGATATGAGGAGGAAGTTTTTCCACACAGAGGGTGGTGAGGCACTGGAACAGGCTGCCCGAGGAGGCTGTGGATGCCCCATCCATGGAGGCATCCAAGGCCAGGCTGGATGTGGCTCTGGGCAGCCTGGTCTGCTGGTTGGTGATCTGCACACAGCGGGGGGGGTTGAGACCAGTTGATCATTGTGGTCCTTCTCAATCCAGGCCATTCTATGATTCTACAATAACACCATTGCTGCAGTGATGCACTGTATGTTATACTTGCAAAGCCAACACATTAACAACAGACCAGCAAACAGAAGCAAAAGACTTGCTTTTTTGGAAAATCAAAACAAACTCCCAAATATCTACTCAGCTATGCAAAGCCTGCCAAGATTAAAAGGGCACTGTGGTTCTACAAGTGTTAATTATGCATCTTGAACAGCATCTCCACTCGGCCTGCCTGAGTTTTAGTAAAGTAAATAATACTATATGAAACTTAAAAAAATACAAGGACTTGAAATGGATATTGTAATGCTGTTTGATCATGAAAGAAGCCATACCATTTGCAAAAACAACTTAATTGAGAGTAACAATAATTCTAAGACTTTAAAACAAAAGGCAACAGCATCACAGCTCAGTACAAGTTTCACCTGCTCAGCTCATCTCCCTTTCCACCCAGTTTCAGAGGTAAAGCAGATGTTCAATGACTGCAGGTAAAACACAGAGGAGGGGTAAGCTGTTCAGTGCTTTGCTCCTGGTGTTCTGTAGCATCTGTTGATGTTGGGTTTTTTTTTGGTGGTTTCAGAAGCTATATAACCTTCGCTGAATTCTACACACCCATGTTTTTGCTGATGTTCCCTTTCCTGCTCCATGCATGTTCGGCTTGATTCAAAAAGCATCCTTTGCTTTTCTTCACTGAGATCAGCCTATCCAGAAAGGTGAAAAGGGAACCTAGGTCACTATCCAAAAAAAAAAAAAAAGTTATTTGATCTTAAGTGCCAGCAAATGAAAGGATAGCCAAGAAATTACTAACATTGTAGATAAAAATGTTTAAAAGTATGAAATGTCAATGTTGCTTGAAGATCATTTTCTGATCGTGCAGCACCTCCTTGTACAAGTGTTAGGAAACAATTTTCAAGGACCAGTTTTTGTGGGAGCGGCCAGGGAAAAGGACTCATTTTCACAAAGTGCAGTATATAGTTCTAAACATCGTCCAGACAGTATTGATTTGGAGAAAACAACAAAAAACCCTAAAGGCCTGTAAGAGACAATTGCTTCAGTTTGCCCAGGCGGAAGGTTTCTTTGGGAACTGCTTCCATCAGAGCTAGCTGCCAAGTGGTCTGGCAACGTGTTTCCCACAGCAGGAAAAACACAAGTACACAATAGCTGCCAGAAACCAAACTCATGTGTGAAACAGAAGTAATCCCGAGATAGCACCAACCACTTGGTGATGCCTTCAGCCGTTGCTTTCAAATTAATGGGTAAAGTCGAGCAGGGGAAGAGATGCAGGATGAGAAATTGCAAGCTCTGGAGTAAAGAAAAACTTGCAACAGTTACTCCAAAGGATCTTGCAGCTTCCTTCCCATTCTCAGTAGTTTTAGCCTAAGGGCTTATCTTAGCTGGCTGTGAATTATTCCTGAAGTTTTAAGTCTGTGCCCTCATAAGCTGTAAGAATCATTTGGAGATTTATTTAGAACTACTTTGAAGAGTTAATTAGTTATGTAGTTGTTACATTCTGATGTAGGCAACAGTTTGAAGTCAAGCAAGGTAGTGATCACCAAAATACATTACTTATGAAAAAAACATTACTTATGTTTTCTTTAAGCACCTAATGGAACCACTATGTGCAAATATTTACTTTTCAAGGTCCTAATAGACTGTACAGCTTTCAGTGTAACTTCTAAGTGAAAACTGTCATTTGATTTGTTACTGGAAAAGCACTTATGACATCAGCTTTCAGCACTAACCACTCAATGGCTTTGCTTAGAGAGGTAAATTGCATTTATTCACTTCAATTCACACAGGATGGTTATGGCAGGATTTAGCTACAGTAACTTAGGACCACCGTGCTGAAAATAAGAAATGAATACTGAAGTATCAAAATCATAGTCCAAAGTTCTGACCCAAATAAAGGCTTAGCAGTCACTTCTCAGAAGCTAGAAGATCTCTATGAGATCTTCAAAGAGGTGCTTCATTAAAGCCTTTCATAGGATTTTGTTCTTTGAGGTACTTTCTGAAAATCATGCTTTATCTGCCTTCACTGCACTATCCAATCCTAGTGCAGGAGCATAATTTTTAAATTTCATTTTTCTGTTGTTCTCTACTCTTAAAAAGGATTCCTGTGGCCAAAAATTATACCATCTGAAGTTAAAACAACATGGCTATTTGATGAGAAAAGTGTAAAAGGCACCTTTAGGGATGTCAGTCACACAACAGGGAAGCTGAACAACTCTGTATCATTCTTCACAGATGAGGATACTTGGGAGACTCACATTCAGTGTCAGACAAAACAAAGCACTGGATAGCAAAGCACTGAAGAAATTCTTGTATGAATTTGCAGGACTGCTGGCCAAGGCATGGAAAACAAGGCCACTGCCAGAGGACTGGTGGACTGGGAATGCAACTCCAGCCTAACAGAGGGCTCAAGAGGGGAACCCAGTAACTACAGACAAGTACATCTGACTTCCACATGGACAGGACAAAAGTCTACAAAAAGACTAGTTAAGACCATTAAGCCAAGAGATAAATACAGCATCAAGGTCCTGGATGCTCATGTTCAGGGCCAGGCTTGCATAGCTGGATCTCTTTGGGAGAGCTCCAAGGGCTGCTCCTTCTTCCCTAACAAGCTACTTTAAAGTGAATACTTTAAAGTAAAGCTCTTACCATGCACCAGGCCACAGATCCATTCACCCGGACACTCGCTCACAAATTTACCTCCTATTTTGACCACAGACAGGGTCAGCGGGCTGTGTCTGTCTGGTCATCATCTCCAGACCTGCCCTTGAACTGCTCACTTGACTTTCCAGCTTGCCCTTAGGCATGCACCCCAGCTGTGGTCTTGTGCAGCAGTTGCAGGGTTGTGTCTGACCCCAGCTACTGTCCCTAGCCCACCACAACCAGACCTGAACTGCTCATTCCACCTGGAATCAAGGGCCAGGTCCCTTACTGGTGAGGCTGCCATCCGCAGCCACCTTCTTACATTTTCTGCTCTCAAGATGTTGCTTTGAGTCACAAACTCGTGTAAAGCAGTCAGCATTGCTGTAAGGGGATAGTACCACCTCACCAACCTGATAGAGTCCAGGGCATGTCAACAGGCAGATCTGAGTGATCCTGAGCTCTTTTCCAAGCAATTAAATACTGTGAGGGCAAGGAATGCCAGACTACTCTCAGAAAACCAAGGGAGTGGTCTAAAGCAACACGGATAAGTTTCAACATACACAATGTAGCTAAAAGTAAACAATGCCAAGCCTACATCAACTCAAAACTGCCAGTTTTGAACTGCAGAGAAAAGTTTGAGTGACAGTTCAATAAAATCAGTGTCAACCTGCATCAGGAACCACAGATATCCGCAGACATCTGATGCTGGCTGTCAAACTGAAGGATTTTGAGTCCAAGACTGAAGGCATCATTTTGCCACTGTGTAAAACACTGTCCTACCCTGCACCTTGAGCATCCAGCTCTAGGCTGCGCACCTCCAGAGCAGCACTGTGGAGATGAGGTGACTAAAATGATTGCAGCAGCTCCAGGATGCCCCAACTCCACCATTCCACCTACCATGCCCCTCCATGCACATCACTGTTCTTGAACACCTCCAGGGACAGTGACCCCACCACCTTCCTGGGCAAAAGCAAACTAGGAAGAAGAAAACTCCCAGGAAGCAGTATGAAACAAATAGAAGGATATGCCCCCAAAAACCCACCATGGTGTAAGGAGAACTCTCTCGGCAGCAGCTGCAGTTCTACCAGTGCCTTCGAGGACACGAAGTCTCGAAGTGCCTCAGACACAGACCCACAGACAAGTCCCGGGCCCCCACAGCAGCCCTCCCTACCTGAGCCACCACATGTAGCTGTGCTCGTAGGGGAAGAAGCTGTGGGGGTCATCGCAGCAGTACTTGACGTCCTGGAAGCCGCAGCAGTACACGGCGCGGGCATCGCCTCCCACCCGCGGGCAGCTGAAGCCGCTCACCAGCACCCTGTCGGCGTTGAGGTAGCTGCTGCACTCGGAGCTCATCGCGCTGTGGCGGGGCTGTCCGCCGCCTGGGCTCCGGCGGCACCCGGGAGGGAGGGAGGTGGGGATGCGGCGGGAGGAGCTCGGGCGGAGGGTGGGGCGGGCGGCGGCCCCTCAGCGCTCCTCAGGTACCGCTGCAAGGCGGGAAACGCGTCCTGAAGCGAAGAGCCCGGTGCCGTCCGTTCCTCCCAGACAGAGACGGCCTGAAGGACAGCATCTCTCGGAACGGCTCGGTTCTCCCTCAGCACTCGGTCCCAAATCGAGGAGGGCGTTCAGGGAGCTCCATACGTCTGTAAGCTCAGAGTCCCTTAGTTTGATGAGGGTAACATCCTTAGTTTCTCTCAGAGGCCAGCCTCACAGAGGTCTTCCTTTCAGTGGTTTTATACCACTTTTTTGTTATCTATTTTTTAAGAAGCAGTGCCCAGGCAGCCAGCATTCCCTGTTGAGGAAAGAGCCATCTGTGAGAGAAAGGTGGGGAGAGCTCAGTTTGAGATGCATTTGTGTGTCCATCAGGTGTGCCTCAGGGTGCACTTTGGCCACAGAACATAGCATAAGAAAAAGTCCTCTGGAGAGCAGCAGTTATACACAGCCCCTCCACAGACCCAGTCCTCAGCACTTCTGAGGTTGGTCTTTTCAAGCTGCAAAAAAGGCTAGAGCAAGTAGGTGATAGATGTCCCATCCCTGAAGACATTCAAGGTCAAGCTGGACCTGATAAAGCTGTAGGAGTCCCAGTTCACTGCAGGGAAGCTAGACTAGATAGCCTTGAAGCATCCTTTCTAACTTACCTGAATCTATGATTTTAAGTGCTTTGTCACACAAGTGACAAAGTTACCTCAAGCAAAAGTTTTTAAAGAAAGGATGCTGTTACAACAGTGAGAGACCAAACTTACTTTGCAAAACCACAACAATTCAGCTAACGCTTCACATTTTAATTTCAGGTTTTACCTTGAAATGAACCACAGGCAAATGGAGTCTTCAGCAGCTTAAAAAGATGCTAGGTCTTCATCAGCTAAGGTACACTCCCACAACGCCTAAACAGGGTGAGGCTGCTAACAACAACAGTTACCATGAGAAGGCCTAGACAAGGTAAGATACTAAATCTAGGACCCATTGAGTAAATGGTACACAACACAAGTTACTTATAATACATGCCTAAGGTTCATCTAAGAGGCTCACTAGTGTACTAGGTAGGAGGTAGGACTGAAGCTAGGTAAACGGCTAGTGTACCTTAAGAAAAGTCAAGCTACTGAGACATTAACTTAAATAAGGCACATGGACCAATGACTGCAGGATTAGGGCGGAAGCTAACCCAGGTGAGAATAATCAGGGCGCATCAGTGGCCACTTAGAGTCTTAACACAGGTGTTTTCCACTACTGCATATACTCCCTCTACATTAGGATGGTCTATTTGTCAAAAAGTATAAATATTCTTCAGTTAGTTGGCTGTGTTTGTTTGTTTGTTGCTTTTGGTATGTGATCTTAAGAAAGAAAATGGCTGGGTTGCTATGAGATTATAGTTTGAATCTACTCACCTGTGTTGTTCAGATGAATTGAGAATCAGATGAGTTGTTTTATGATAAAGTTGAGGGTTGATTTATTCAGAATAGATACAACAGAACGATCTGCTAAAGACTAGAAGGTAATATTTTTACTTCAGTTATGTTGCTAGCGTTACTACATGTTCTGATTGAATCATGGCTCTTATGGTGCTTCATTCATAACATTTATAGAATTTGTTTCTATAATCCGAGCTTCTAAAAAAGCAGAAAACTAATTGTGAGCTACTATAAGGGGTGCTGCTGTCTAGATCACCTTCAGTCCTCACTCGGATCTACGTAGAAAGTTATTCCTTAACCATTATCAATAGGCAGACAACTGCATAAATTGCTTCCAAAAATAATCTTGCAACAATTTTTGTAACTAAACAAAATTGTTGTGCCATGGTTGAGTAACTAGTCCTGATTATGTATTACAACTCAAACTGGTGTTATTTGGTGTAGGCAATGTGTTCTGTCTCACTTGAGTGATGCAGATGACAGAGTGATATTTTAAACTAGAAAGGGAGCAGAGGTTTAAGGGATGCATACTTACAATGTGTGAGCACAGGTACATTCACAAGACATGAAATACGTGTTTCATTTAGTTCTCTTTTACAAATGTAATGACAAGTAGTAATATTTCATTAGTTAATACATGTAACAAACTTCTGTATGCTAGTTTGAAATATATCAGATGACTCATATGATTGACAATATGGAATTTCACTTTTTTTCTATTTGTTTTCTAAAGTGAGAAATTACACTTAGAAAATTATGTTCAAATAATATGAGGTTACTCAGAATTTGGAAATGCCAGACTTACAATTGATAACATGATCACATTCTATTTCTTAAGAGATTCTATCTCACTTGTCATTGAGGTTTTAAATATTTTATTTTCTCACTCTTTTCTAATGTATGATGACAAGTTGATATGCTGAGTGTTTGCCATATATACTGTGAATGCAGTTTCAGCTATGTTTTTGTTCTAATAGTTTTGGTTGCTATGTAGGTATTCATTTTTCTGTGTCCTGTGAGATGAAGGGTTGGGCTATTTATCTATTTTGCAAATACCAAAATATGTCATCACCTACTTATCTCTCATGCCTGAGTCTGGAAGCAGAGATGTCTATTGGAAGTCTCAATTATTTTTCTTCTGATAGGAGAGCTGAGGATACTTGTTATTCATAAAATGTGTGAGACCTTTGAACAGAGAATTACAAAAAGTTCAAAGTATGGCTTCCAATTACTATGGCAGCATTTTATTGAAATGCAAAAATATTAATAATAACCCTGGAGGAGGAACTTTTCTGTCTGTACTTGTCTGACATTTCAAATGTATGTTTCCCCTGCGTCTAAAAATGCATTTAAAATGTATTTGGATTTTAAAAAATATACTGCAATATTCCATGAGCAATCAGAATAATAGCATAAGTGTTGGTTCAACCTCATTGTGGATGACAGTGCTTTAAGTTTGTCAGGGAAGAAGTCACATGGTGTATTCCTTCTTGGTACATGTACTGTATATGACTACAGGAACATGGGAACGAGGACTTTTCACTCCTGATATTGTGCTAGTCACAAGCAGTTATATGCTTCCTTCTTTTCTTAACAGTTCCATTTTATTTCCTAGCTGCTAAAGCTCATTTTTTTTTTCCCTTTCTTCTGCTGCTGAAAGATAGTTTGTTTTCCACGCTGGGAATGCTACTTGGTTTTGCAGTGATGTAAAGAGAATCAATTTCCATAGCCCTTGTACCTTTGGCTGACACTAGAAAGCTGTATTCAGTTTCAAATTCCTTTTCACTTCAGCAGTGAAGATAAGGAGCAGTTGTCCAACATAAGCTGTCAGTTTGAAGGAATGATAAAAAAGAGGTATATTCTTTTTGGTTTTGTATGTCTTCAAGACACTTTAAGGGTCCTTGAAACCAATTACATTTGCACAGCAGTTATTAACCACAGAATAGATGAGGTTGGAAGAGACCTCTAGAGGTCACCTGGTCCAATCCCCCTGCTCTAGTAGGGCTACCTGGAGCTGGTTGACCACAACCATGTACAGATGACTTAAGATCTCCAGATGGGAGACCGCACAACGTCTCTGGGCAACATGTGTCTGTGCTCAGTAAAAAAAGAAAGTATTTCCTGGTGGGCATAAACTGGGACACACGAGGTTCTATCTGAATATCTCAGATAGAATATTGAGAATATTGGAGACCTCATTGCACTTTACAACATCCTGAAGGGAGGTTGTGGTGCAAAAGGGTCTGGCCTCTTCTCCCAGGCAAATGGTAGGACCCGAGGAAACGGCCAGAAGTTATACCAGAGGAGATTTAGGTTGGACATTAGGAGAAACTTTTTCTCTCAAAGGACGGTCAGGCACTGGAATGGCTGCCCAGGGAGGTGGTGGAGTCGCCGTCCCTGGCAGTGTTCAAGAGGCGCCTGGATAAGGAGCTACGAGAGACGGTTTAGTAGCTTGTGGCACTGATAGGAATGGGAGGGTGGTTGGACTAGATGATCTTGCAGGTCATTTCCAACCTTGTGATTCTGTGATCTCGTCTTGTCACTGGGTACCACTGAATATAATAATATTCAATTAAGGCATGTGATTGTTGTCTTTTAATTTGTGTCCCTCCTTATCAAAGCATGTGTTTACTACAGAGCTGAATGGGTGGAATTGCTCTGAGTGACAGACTAGACATTTTGAAGATACTGGATGTTGTTTTAAATCAGAATTTTTCAGGGGGATTTTCAATAGATATTAGAGTGCTTAGAAATGATGTTTTGAAGAATATAAAACAAACAGAGGGGAAAAAAAGTACCATAAAATAAGGTCATTTTTACTTGATGCTGTCATCAGTAGCAGTTATGGAGCTCAGGTATCTGGTATGGAACTTAAGGAAGAACATGTATTAGGACAGACTCATGAAAAATTGTTTTGCTTTGATGTTGGTCAACTGAATTTTGGCTACATCAGTGGAATGGTTTTTTCTAACATAAGTGGAGATGGAGGGTGGCACAAAAGTATGGTGAGAGCATTTTTGAGAGCCAAGTCAGTATGGTTCCACCAAGTGATAGTAGTCTGTTGTGCTAAAATGCAATTGGCACTACAGCCTTTTCCATCCTGTGTAAAGACATATATTCTTGTTCAAAACATTGCCAACAGAAGTATCATAAACACCTTTTTTACAGTCTTTTGCCCTACTTTTATTAGAGAAAGGAAAAGAAAAGAATACTGATTATGAACAAAACCACAAAAAAGACAAAATAGGAATGTCTTCAAATTATAATGTTTTCCATTGGGCCCCTTTTCCTCCTTTCGTCTATTGTGTTTGACCTACTAAATGGCATTTTAAGAATAGACTTTAATAGGCATAATACTTTCATACTTCATTAATTGAGGCTTTGAACTTAAATTAGGTCAGAAAGAGGCATCGGGGAAGAACCAAAAGAAATGGTCAGAGGTAGAAGACTGGAAAAGCAATAAACTTTTATCTTCACAG